AAACCGGACAGTTCTAAAACATGTCTGGCCCCAGTGGTTTCATTAAGGGTTTGTGGACCTATACAAACTTACGATGCATAAATAAGGAGGTGTTTTAGCATCTTTTTCCTTTGGTGTATTTTTACTTTTGACTCTATGATTGTGCAAAGAACATTGCAGTGTATTTTATGTAATTTCAAGATAGCTGTATGTTACTACTATGATAGTTTGAGATGTGATAAGTAATTTTGCTTCCATCTTTTATTTTGCTATTCAGACTATCTTTATGCTCAATTTATTTTTTAGTTTTGTTCCTCAAAGCATTAGTTAGGCTTCTGTCTACATTGCACTTTCAGTTAGCTTCCTCATCCTGGTGGTGCTGCTTTCCTTTGGACCAGTTCATATTTCTATGGTACATGCCAGATTTCTTGAAGGACAAAAGATTCATTTATTATTTTGTTATAGGACATGTCATAGCACAGGCTTACATGGGAGATGAAGTATAAATGGTTGCCGACTGTACAAAAATGTGCCTAAGCTGGTGGTGCTTGTTGAATTAAGTGGGATTTGATTTTTAAGTTATTTCTTATCTGTGACATCATAAAAGTTAGGAATCTCTAGATGTTCTTTGTAGTATCTTTCAACTCCAGGTTTACAGTCCTTACTGACAGTATGGGATTGTACATGATGCTGATTTGATTGGCATGTCACAGTGAGGGCTAAATAAAAGTCTGAACTTTGTTTACTGCTAGCATCCAGCTTAGAAACTACACCATTATCATTCAAGATCTATGTAATGCTCATTACACAGCATTGTACTACCTTCTAGGCTGGATGATGAACATCATAGCTGTCTGAGAGGTGAATTATCTTTGTATGGGGGAGGGGTGATACTTTAAATTACAATATAGTTTCTAATTGAGCATGTGTAAATAAATACAGGTTATGAGAGCAGTCAAAAATTAGTGTGTAAAATGTCAGTTTATTGTGTGTCTGTCAGGTTATTACTAGTTTCATTAATGTTATGTTTGAAAAATCTTGTCCTTTTAGTTTTTATTTTTATAAGCTGATGACACATTGTGTCCAGTGCTTTCATGTGATACAATTGTTAAAAACAATAAAGGAAGCGATTTGGACCTTTCTCTGTATCTCGGCAGCTTGCTGCCTGTTTGTCATGGGACAAGTTACATAATCTCTGTGACTCTCTCATTTTAAAATCTTACAGATGTGGCCTGTGGAGCCTCTGTTCGTGCTAAAAGGATGGCTCACTGTAGCTAACGCTTGTGTCGTTTTGAGGAGTGGGAGTGGACCTGGGGTTAAACTGAAGCCCTGCCCTTACTAACTTTGTAATCTGATTAACTTTTCAGTATGTTGTAGAATGGGCTAGTTAAGAGGATAAAATACATGCATTAATATATATGAAGCATGTATCCTAGTGCCTACACAGTGGAAGCTACTTAAGCAGTGGTAGTGACTGCATCTGTTGTTTTTGTTGATGTAGTGTAATTTGGTTTTCCTTTTAAGTAAATTAAGGCAAGTGAAACTCGCCATGGAGTGTGTATAGTATATGTAGCTTGTCATTATGCTGAGGGCTTCCATTTCAAAGATGGTATCTATAAATTGAGTTAACCACTTCTTACTAAAATAATGTCCTTTAAGTAGGTCATAGTAAGATGAAGTGGAAAGAATTTTAGTCCTGGAAATGAGAAGCCTTGGCTTCTAGGTCTGACAATGCCATTTACGAGCTTTGGGCAGGCTGTGTAACCTTGGTTCATTTTCTCTTTTGTAAAGTTGTGATTACTTACCCTATGTACTGTGGGGTGCTAGAGAAAAATCACCTGAACTTTTTTAAAGTGCTTTGCAAATTATAATGCATTTTCTATTTATAAAGAGTAAATAGTATTTGCAAATGATCTGAAGGAATATCACTCAAAAGCTCTGCTCTATAGGTTATTTGGTGGTGTGGGTGTTGGGGGTGGGTGGTGGAATCTTGTAGCTTTAAAAAGCTTATTTCTTTTAAAAGCTTTAAGGTTTTATATTGTGGTGGTGGTGGTTCAGTCACTCATTTGTTTCCAACTCTTTGCAACACTATGGGCTGCAGCATGCCAGGCTTTCCTGTCCATCTTCTGGAGCTTGCTCAAACTCATGTGCATTGAGTCGGTGAAGCCTTCCAACCATCTCGTCCTTTGTTGTCCTCTTCTCCTCCTGCCTTCAATCTTTCCTAGCATCAGTTCAGTTCAGTTCAGTCCTCAGTCGTGTCCAACTCTTTGCAACTCCATGGACTGCAGCATACCAGACTTCCCCGTCCATCACAGACTCCCAGAGTTGCTCAAACTCGTGTCCATTGAATTGGTGATGCCATCCAGGCATCTCATCTTCTGCCGTCCCCTTCTCCTTCTGCCTTCAATCTTTCCCAACATCAGGGTCTTTGCTAATGAGATGGCTCTTCGAATCAGGTGGCCAAGTACTGGAGTTTCAGCTTCAGCACCACTTCTTCCAATGAATATTCAGAACTGATTTCTTTTAAGATTGACTGGTTTGATCTCCTTGCAGTCCAAGGGACTCTTAAGTGTCTTCTCCAACACCACAGTTCAAAAGCATCAATTCTTCAGCGCTCAGCTTTCTTTATGGTCCAACTCTCACATCCATACATGACTACTGGAAAAACCATAGCTTTGACTATACAGACCTTTGTCGGCAAAGTAATGTCTGCTTTTTAATATGCTGTCTAGGTTGGTCATAGCTTTGGTCATTGCTTCCCAAAAAGCAAGCATCTTTTAATTTCATGACTGCAGTCACTGTCTGCAGTGACTTTGGAGCTCAAGAAAATAAGTCTGTCACTGTTTCCACTGTTTCCCCATCTATTTGCCATGAAGTGATGGGACCGGATGCCATGATCTTAGTTTTCTGAATGTTGAGTTTTAAGCCAACTTTTTCACTCTCCTCTTTCACTTTCATCAAGAGGCTCTTTAGTTCCTCTTTGCTTTCTGCCATAAGGGTGGTGTCATCTGCATATCTGAGGTTATTGATGTTTCTCTCTGCAATCTTGATTCCAGCTTGTGTTTCATCCAGCCCAGCATTTCGCGTGATGTACTCTGTATGTAAGTTAAATAACCAGGGTGACAGTATACAGCCTTGATGTACTCCTTTCCCAGTTTGGAACTAGTCTGTTGTTCCATGTCCGGTTCTAACTGTTGCTTCTTGACCTGCATACAGGTTTCTCGGGAGGCAGGTAAGGTGGTCTGGTATTCCCATCTCTTTAAGAATTTTCCACAGTTTGTTGTGATGCACATAGTCAAAGGCTTTAGCATAGTCAGTGAAGCAGAAGTAGATGTTTTTCTGGAACTCTCTTGCTTTTTCTATGATCTGTGATAGAACAGTTTAGTAAGCTGTTTCTTACCTGATACTGTTTTATTTTTTAAGGAAGGAACATCTCCCTCATTGCCCTCTAGTAACTTCTAATTGTGTTTTCTCTAAAATACAAATGCCACTAAGTTCTACATTTTGTTTCTCTTTTGTTTCACACAAGCCCTCAGGGATATAAAGACCTCTTTTACATCAGTGGATAAAAGAAAACTCTTTACTCTTCATCTTTTCACATACCTGGAAGAACCTGTATCTTGTTCCCTTTTTATCTCTCATTCATGGAAAGGATTTCCAGTTGGGATTAGATGGAAGATAGGAGCTGGTGAAGAGACATGGGAAAGGGAGTTAACCTAACTTTTTTTTTTATAGTTACCTCACAGCCAAACTCTCTCCTCTGGGGTCATGGAAGCTTGAGATAGGTATGTGGCAGTTCCTGTTTTAGGCCAAGGAAAGGTTGATTAGTTGGCCTCAGGAGAAAACATCTATTAACATCTGAAAATAAATAAATTTTTAAAAACTTAATAGTAAAATTTTAACAGCTGTGATTTTTTTTAAACAGCATTTCTGATAGATTATGGGTTATCTAAGTGGATATTTATGGACTTGCTTGAAAACACAAACTTTTAGCCTTGGATCTGTGGAAAATTTGTGTGTGTGTGTGTGTGTGGCACTTTTAGCCTTGGATCTGTGGAAAACGTGTGTGTGTGTGAGGCACTTTTAGCCTTGGATCTGTGGAAAATGTGTGTGTGTGTGTGTGTGTGTGTGTGTGTGTGTGTGTGTGAGGCACTTTTAGCCTTGGATCTGTGGAAAATTTGTGTGTGTGTATGTGTGAGGCACTTTTAGCCTTGGATCTGTGGAAAATGTGTGTGTGTGTGTATGTGTGTAAAACATTTTAAAAATTCCAACCACCAATTTTCAAAGTTTTGAAGTTGAGGGTTGGGTCAGGGAGACCTGTAGTCTATTTGGAAGCTGTTAACAGTTTTCGGTCTGAAGTAATTTGTACTTACCTTAAATCAGTTAAATCAGTCATCATGTTAAAGCATGACTTAATATTTAGGCCTTTAGAGAAACACAAAATAAGCATAAAAGCAGTCACTGTACTTAAGATATTTCTTTAAATGGTGAGCAAGTGGTACCCAACAGAACAAGGCAGTATATCATCAGCTGATCATGGATTGTGAGGTGTCAAGTGTGAGAATTTTATTTTAGAGAAAGCTTGTTGACAGGAAGAACTTAGGAAGGTTTTATGAGGGATATGAGTCTTGAATTTAGCTATCAGGTGTCTGGTTATGTATACAGTTAGTAGAGTACTGTTGAAAGGTGATGCTACTTCTGGGAGAATTGAAGATAGAGAATTTGACTGGTGCAAAGAAAAATGGATCTCATATGTCAAGTCAGTGAAGATGATGGGTTCATATGTAGGATTAATTATTTGCACAGTTTATTTTAGTGAAACGAAACAGCATGACATTGTTCATAAAGCTTTTTTTTTTGGTTTGGGACAGCTATGGCCAGGTGGTTTATAAGCAGTTGGCATTTGCTTTGTCAGATGATTTGGGAGTGGAGAGTGATACCTCGGGGTAAACTTGTCTGAATATTTTTTGCTCTTAAAGTAATAAAATATTGGTTGTTAGCCCATTTTCCTTCTTTCGCAGGTAAAAAACAGGAAGCAGATGAGTTGAGTGGAGATGCTTCTGTGGAAGATGATGCTTTTGTCAAGGTAAAGTGTTAATTACACAGGTTAAGATGTCTGTTTTGAGCCTAGTATTTTGCATGATGAATTCATGCATTTTGCTTTAACAATAGACACTGAAATATGTTGGTAAATAGGTATAGAGATGTATAATATTGTCAGTCTTACTAATTCTCATAGTTGAGAAATATAATAAATAACTTTAGTTAAATGAGACAAAGCAAAGAATGTTTGTTGGGGGAGACATAGGGGCCAGAGGAACAGGTACAGGACAACTGATACCTTAGTTCCTGGACAGGGCACTGCCCACCACGTTTAGCTTCTGTATACATTAATAATATGCAGAAACCAGGTTAGTGTAGTCTTTGAAATGGAGAAAGTTGCTGATGTATTGCTACTTGGTGAAGATCAGATTGAGAAATATGTTTTGCCCATTAAAGATAAATAAGCCAGGTCTTCATTGGCTAAAAAAGAATGTCCAACTAGGAGAACAGAGTATGTAATTTTAATTGAGGTTGTGGCTGTTCTATATACTGTTACTTTTAATCATAGTTTTTATTGTTGCTGTTTCATTTTAATGAAATGTGATCTCCTATTGACTGATCATTAGGTCGTAAGTAGTGTGGCATTTGCAGGAATTATTTAACAAGCATAGTTCCTTTTAAATTACATACATTTACACCCCATGTATTCTGTTTTCTGTACAGTTTCTGTACAATTAGGTCATATTGCCATAACATCTCGGATGTCTGTGTGGTCCACCATGAAGTCAGCTCATGTCCCTTCACTCACCCATTTCCTACCATCTAACTCTCTACCCTCCCCACACACGCAGGCTACACAGGTACCATGTACCTCACTCTTTGTATCTTGCACTTTGACGGCAGGCACAGAGAGAAAGAGATGTTTGGTTGAAGAGTTAGCCCTGAAATCAGGTAATTCAAGAAATATGTGCTCAGGGATCCATTAAAATGGGTGATTGCATGCATGCCTATAACCGGCTTTTTTTGAGCCTTTAAGGACTGTTCAGTCTTTGTATTCTGTTATCCTTGTGGTATATCTTCCGTTAGGTTTGTTCCTTTGCTCTCATTTTCTCTAGCTGTCTTCACTAGTGAGTATATGATTAAGCCAAAACTACCCATAAGCTGGAAAAACATTGTGACTTAGTAAAAACCCTTTTAGTTTTCAAATTTCTAACTTCCTTTCAGCTCTTCAGTGAACAAAAATGTTTTAGCCATTTAAAATGTTACGAGGAGATGTAATATTGCTGTCTTATATGTACCACAAAGGATGCCTTTGTTTAATTATTAAATGAACCTGGTCATACTGTCTAAAAGAACAAAATAACTTTTACAAAATTATATTTAAATGTATCGTTACTTTTTTGTATTTCTTTTTCCCTTTGGAGGTATCCTCATGTGTGGTAAATATGATAGAAACAAAGTGAATATACTTGCCTTGTCTCTCAGAGTTGGTAGTTTTGGAGTTTATACAGTGATGGTGGGTGAATATCACCGAGTGCGTAGGTATGTGAGTGCTGTAGATGCTTCTACTTGTAGGTGAGGAGAATAGTCAGAATTGTCACTTCAAAGTAGATGATGCTCCCTAGTGACTTCCCTTGTTTTGTTTTTTGTTTTGCACCAATTATTCTACCATCGTATAACCAACCACCTACTCCATTTTCACTTCCCAGTGTTCCCCCGCTCATAGGTAGATAAATTGGTTAAACCTGCTGTCCCAGAGATGACCTGCTCCCCAAGCACTGCACATTCCAAACAATCGTGTTTCTTCTCTGTGCCTACCTTCCCAGAAATTTCTAGTCCCTCATTGCAGTTCATCTATGAATAATTAATAGTTATACCCCTACACTTTTCCCCTTTTAACCAAGAAACCTTAAAATCTGTTGGATTTACCATGAGGGTTGGAAAGGAGGAAGAATGTCCATTGCTTTCAACCCTTTGTCTGCAGTTAATGAGAGAGGGAACTAGACTGATTGCTGCTTTTCTTTATTTCTACTGAGGTACCCTTATATCCATAAACTTTGAGGGGCAAACAGATATTCTTTCCTTCACAGAGAGAATCCTAATCTAAGTTCCCTTGCTTAATTGGCTTTGTGGCATGATGGTTGATTTCAAAACTAATACATTAGATTAGTTATTTGCATATTTGTAAGAACAGGCATTGGTGTAACAGTTGGGATTCCTTATTATACATTAGAAATAAAATTTATATTATATATAAGATGTCCACAGTCTTTGCAGGTAAACCAAACTGTGGCGTGTAGAGAAAAGAAGTCATTTCTTTGAAGCCATATCTTATAGGAAAGCTTATAGGATGTGACTTGGTAAATATTATAACTGGAACTTGAGAGCAATCCAATTAGTGTATATGTATTTCAGTGTAAGTGATTTGGGAACTCAGATGCATAGTTTAATGACCTTGGTATTAGACCCCCCTCTATTTTTAAAGGCACAGTTAGTATGTAATATAAAATGACTGAACTTTGACTTTGGGAGTAATGTCAAAATATGATAGAAGTGAAAACATTTAGAGATGTAAATTACCAAAAAGGTTTGGTGGATAGCCCCCAGTACTTTGCCTCGAATTGTATCAAATTTTCTTACCATTAAAAGGACTGTGAATTGGAGAATCAAGAGGCACATGAACAAGATGGAAATGATGAACTGAAGGACTCTGAAGAATTTGGTGAAAATGAAGAAGAAAATGTGCATTCCAAGGAGTTACTTTCTGCAGAAGAGAACAAGACTGCTCATGAATTAATAGAGGCAGAAGCAGTAGAAGATATAGAAAAAGAGGACATCGAAAGTCAGGTCTTTAGCCAGTTTTTTTAAGATGTGACACAAACTAAGTACTAAATAATAAAAAAGTATTTTTCTAGTTCAATGGGGAAGTCACAGAACTTTCAAAAAATATACTTTTAAAGTTACTTATAAATCACTCAGAATCCTGCAATCTAAGATGACCTTTCAATTTTTGCTTATTATTTTCCACATATGTATATGTTTTTACCTAGTGGTTATCATGCTATAAATTGCTATTTAGTCTATATATTTTCATGTAACATATAATGACTTCAAAATTTGTACATTACATCATAATTTATTAGACTGTTTCCTGGGTGTCTAATAGCTACTCTTTTAATTTGGGATATTTAAGTTTTAAGTTGTTTACTATCCCACTATGAAAGAGTGTACCAATTTAACACTCACCTTGCCAACATTACCAGATAGTTTTTTTTTCCTACTTTAGTAGATGTAAAAGATTAATTTGCATTTATTTGGTTATTATCAAAGGTGGGGAAAATTACTTATGAAAGGTTAACTTAAAAGATTTAAAGACATAATTTTTAAATCTTTTCTTTGAATGAAATAGACCATTTGTCCTGCTTTGAAGTATGTTAGTACATCTTAAGAAAATCAGTAGATGAGGGGGTCAGTATTCACGGTTAGAACACTGTGTTCTACCTAGCTTAATAAATGAAGGGCTCATGAAGGACTTCTAATTCTTTTTTTTGTCTCTAATTCTTTTATCAAAGTGACTAAGCTTTTATGTTGGCATAAAAATATAGTCTGAATTAAGCATTGGCTAAGCCATGGTATCTATAGACATTGCACAGAACATGAGGCAAGTGATAATCGGGTGTAGCATAAAAGTGTTCTCATGTTACTCAGATATTTTGTAAAGCAAAGCTATTGTATACCCTTTTACTTAGGAAATTGAAGCTCAAGAAGGTGAAGATGATACCTTTCTAACAGCCCAAGTAAGTTTACATTTAGTCCTATGAATTTGATATTGTTGGGTGGAAGGGCTTGGAAAAGGAATCTTATTTTGACTTCATAATTATTCATAAAATTGCCTTAAATATAATACTGAGTTACATGGTGTATACAAAATACTTTAAATTGGTGGCTGAAATTTCTCTTGCTGTGGAGATAATTGGAAGTTATTATAATAAGGTTCCTACCATTTTCAAAATAAAAATAAAACCAGTCTATCCTAAGTCTAGTTATCAGTTTTTTGGGAAGCCTTCATCCTCCTTGATTTTTTTTTTTGGTCACTTTGGTATGAAATAAATCATTTAAAAGTACTAATATCCTATTAAAACTTTAAAATTTTGTTAATTTAACACCCCTACGATAAATATAGTATAAAAATTATAAAAATCTCTGTTTAATTTTCTTGGGATATGTGTATACATGTGGGTGTGTGTGTGTATGTGTAGAAAATGATTTCTATTGTGTATTAGATTCTGTTTTTGGTCTATGTGATATGCATAGTGTACATTTTAAAGCATGATGTACAGATGCTATAAACAGACATTTATAGCTCAATTTCTGTATTAAAAATTAGCCTTTGTCTTTTCCCCATTTGTGTGCTCAAGAATACCTTGTTCATGTACTCTCTTTAAATAGTATACTTTCAAATAGAGATGGGGTTCTCATTCTCTCTGTTAGGAAAAACAGTGATCAGGTGTGCTATTTCCTCACTGTAATATTTGCTGCAAGGGTATATAATGTGCTGTATATTCATAGCCTGCTTAGCTGTTTACTTCTGGTCACTCCTTCTTTACCCCAGCTCTCTTTGTTTGGATTGCTGGTGAGGCTGTATATTGGTTCTCTGTGTTCATTGTAATGGGAGAAATTGCATTTCTGGGGGAAATGTTTTTGGTAGTTTGGAATATTCAGGAAGGAAATGTTAGGACTGTGAAAGTCTGTAGAGTTCCCCCCATACTATCCTCAGGTATGTTCATTTTTGAATGATAAAAAATAGATGAGGAAGATTAACTCCCAAATTGAAGGAGTACCTTTTCTAGATATTACTAATTTGCAAAACAGTAGAGTTGAACTCTTCATATTCATTGGCAAAAAAAAAAAAGTTTTTTAATTTTCATCAAGGGCCTCTCCTTCCATTGCACAAGTTGGAGTGTGTGAAGGGTTACATCTGAGTGTCCCCATTCTCATAATAGATTATGTATTTATTATAAAAATCTAACAGAAGTATCTTAAGGAATGAGTTCCTTTTTTTAATTTTTGCAAATTTTTATGGGCTTGATTTGGCCTTGCTCTCCTATTCCATCCTGAGAGGGAAAGAACCCTTATTTACTTCTTATCAAAGGGCAGGTTTTGCTTATTGTATCAGGGAGGTTACATCTTCAGAGAAGTAAAATGACCTTTTTTCCTCTTCCTTAATGATGTATGGTAGAATATGTAGAAATATATATGAATGTATCTCCATTCCATCATGATTTTGATGCTTCTAAGCATGACTAATGGATGTGTTGTCTTGCTGTGCATGTTAAGGAGTACTGCACAGAGTATAACCCGTTACAAGCTTCTGCTGCTCGCAGTTCAGGGCAGTATTGTTTCATCTATAACCTCCATTCACTTTTCCTTTTCTGCACTATTTTGAAACAAATTCCAGACATATTTTGCCTTAAAACATTCAGTGTGTATCTCTGAAAGAGAACTTTTATTTTTTACATTATTATTCCTAATATATGATTTTTTAAAATATCTTCCAATACTCAGTTTTCCTAAGTTTTTTTTTTTTTTCCAGAAAGCTTTATTTGAATCTGTTTATTTGTTTGATGCAAATAAGATCGAGATACTGTTATTGATTGAAATGTCTTTTAGGCCTCTTTCAATCTATAGGTTTTCTGTTCATCTCCCCCCTCCACTTTATTTGTTAAAGAAATTGAGTTGTTTATCGTATAGAGCAAGAGGTGGCAAAGTTTTTCATTAAAGGCTAGGTAGAAAATATGCTAGCTGTGTGGGCCTGATGGTCTGTTACAACTATGCAGCTCTGCCACTGAGTGTGAAAGCAGCTACAGGCATTAAGTAAATGAATGGACATGGCAGTGTCGATAAAAATAGCTACAGAAAGCATCTCGCATAGTTTGACACCCCCTGTCATTCATAGAGCTTCCAACGTCTGTATTTTGCTGGTTATGTTCCTGTGAATTTAGTCAGCATGTTCCTCTGTTTAGTGTATTTCCTTTAAATTGTTGTTTATAGGATCCTGAGGCTTGCTATCTGATTCCGACACCCCTATCCCCATCCCCACAAGATACAACTAATAGGTAGTGTTGTATTCTTCTATTTGGATACACATAATGTCTGACTGTATCTTTTTGGTGATGGTACCAGTCATTGATGATCTATATTACACTGATTTAATTAATCAAAGTGGTGGTATTCTTTTATTTTCTTTATTTGTTGGCTGGAATGTTCCTTGGGAAAAAACTTCTCATCTATTATTTGGTTACCTTGTGGTATCATTTACAAAGAAAAGCCAGGATATATGTTTGATTATTTTTCCTTTATTTACCAATTTTCAAAATAATGAGTTGGTTCATGAGCATCTCTGATACTGACTGATTTTTATTTTCTTTTTGTCCCTTTGTTTCATTTTGAACTCATGGATTTAAATACTTTTAGTGTATTTCAATCCATTGTAGTTATTATCCTTATTAATACTCAGATTGTCCTATCTATAGCCAGTGAGAATCTCTTCAGGTTGTTTCTTTAATCCTTTCCTTTTTTTTTCCCTTTAATCCTTTCAACGTGATCCAAGTAGTCTTTATTTCCTTGTTGTCTGGTTCAGATTTCTATTTCCTACTCCAGACCTGTAATTAGCCACTTCCATTTACTGGTAAATGATATTTTGAGACAATAATCTTGATGGTAGGGGTGGGGTGTTCATTGCCTCTGGGTTGTTCATATTTTCTAGGCCTTTTCAATGTACAGTGTTAGAGAATGTGTTTTTTATTTGTTTCTGTTGGTTTTTTTACTTTTAAGATAAAATAGATTTTGAGTTCATAAGGTATGCTTCTAAGTTAATTATTTTGTTTATCTCACAGTATATGTACAATAGTCCTAGGATGATAATACCAGCACCATCAGCAGTGTGATTTCTGCAATAAGTTTTTTCCACTCAAGTTATCTCTCTTATAGGGATATACCCTCTAGGAATGAACAAATCAGTGTGTTTTAGATTAGCTTTCTATATGATCACAAACTAATACATATATAGGTTCAATATTTAAGTATAGTTTTTTTAAAAATTTTAATCTGTAACTTCTTGTGAATCTATAATTATTTCAAAATAGATATTTTAGTTTTATAATTTTTAAAAATATTTACATGATTCCAAAGTCAAATCTAAGAAAGGATACATTCTAAAAAGTCCCCTTTACCCATCCCCTTATTGGTGAATTTTTTAAAATTCAGGATTAATTGCTTTATTCCTTGTCTTTAAAAATATAAGTAAATAGGCAAGTGCATTTATATAGGTATCTGTTTATTTAAAGCTAGTCTTCAGGCTTTGACTTGAAGCTTAGAGCTTTACCTTTTAGGTGTTAGCCTCTGGGCAGTTTGTCATACCAGGTAGAATTTGGTTCACATTCTACTTCTGTTAGTTACTTAAAATATTGTGACTTTGAGTGTGTTCTCTTAGTCCATTTCTATGTCTGTAAAATGAACATTGTAAGTCTTACCTGCTAGGTTGATGTGAAGAGCAATCTTATATCCTTCACATAGTACATGTGTAATTAGTGATTACTTGTGGTATTGTTTTACTAGCTTGGAGATATCAGTTATTTAGAATTGTTTGGAAAATTTTCTATTTGCCCTTGCCCCAAAGTTTCATCAACTTGAAGTACCTTCCCCTTTTTGTCATATGAAGTCTGTATAACTCTCAAAGCCAGATTTATCTCTGTCTCTTCTATAAAGCTTTCCCTTACATAGTGTTTTACTGTTTACAGAGAACTTTTTACACCCACTGTCTTATATAATCCTGTATATCCTATTTAGGTCATATGTTATCTCTAATTTACAGGTAAAGTTCAGCTAGGTAGATGACAGTGCTGTTGTTTAGTCGCTCAGTGTGTGACTCTTTGCGACCTCATGGTCTGTTCAGGCTCCTCTGTCCATGGGATTTCCCAGACGAGAATACTGCAGTGGGTTGCCGTTTCCTTCTCCAGGGGATCTTCTTGACCCAGGAAGATCACAATATCACAGAGTAAAACTGTTTCAGTGGTAAAGATAGAATAAATACCTACATATCTTGGTGCCTAGTCTGTATTCTTTTCATAAGTAACTCCACACTAGTAAATGTTTTCTGAATTCCATTGTACTTACACAGTGCTGCAGTTAAACCCTCTGCCTACATAAAATGAGCAGTTACTTAAGTCCCTCCACTTAAAAACAGCAGTGTCTCACAGTACATTTATTCAGTAAACTCATTCAACAAATATTTATGAAGTACTTATTATGTGCCAGTATTATTTCCCATGGTCTTTAGCGTATTTCCAGGTAGGTAATAGGCAGTTGGTGGTTTAGGGTTATGTTGACGGTTTATTGTAAATTAGTTAGATTGAATACAGCGTTTATGTACAAGTCAAGGGAGAGGAGGCCTTGCAGAAGATGCCTTCTTACTTAGTGCTTGTGTGTAACTAACCTTTGGGAAAGGGCCGAGAATGGGTAGAAAGTAAACTTTGTTAACTGAAAAGCAAGTCCTAGGTTTGTCTTTATCATTAGTCATTGCTGCTCCTAGAATGAAATAAAAATAGAGAAACTTTCTGTATGATTTTTGCAGTCAAATGCTCTACCTCTGAGCTATACTCCCCTGTATGATTTTTGGCACTTAAGGGTTGTAGATCCCATTACAAAGACAAACAACATGAACATTATAAAGCATTTGCTTCATTTCATATGTGAAATATGTTTTTTCAAGATAAACTAAAAAAGTAGTTAATTAAAAGGATGCTTTTTCATTGTGGTTACTTATTTACCATATTCCTCATTCTGAAAAAACATGTTTTCAGTGGAGGAAAATTATTTTGAAATCAGGCACGTATCATGTCTGTGCATATTCAGGGAAATTTTCCCAGTATCTTTTTAATATTTCTTTGTTTTTTTATTGCAAGAAATGATTGAACCTTAGCAGTTCTATGTTTACTGCACATAGAAATATAATGCAAATATGCACTGGTGTGTGGCTCATCTTTTCTACTAACCCTAGTTGTTTTTGCTCTCAACCCCCATTGTAATCAGTTTGTTTTCTAGAAATTGGCTCAGATTCTTTTCCTTGGGTCATTTAAGTGTATGTAATAAGGCTAGTGTTACCATTTGTTTAGAAACTAAAGTTATGAAACCCTTCAGAAGACCTGTTAAGTGATTAGGATAGATACCTAAAAACCAGCAAAAGTAAGGCAAACCTTACTGATGGTTTTAGCAGCTAGAAGTAACATTTCTACTTGGCAGAAAGTACAGCAGAAAGATTTTGTTACTGTAAAACATCACAGTATTTTAAAAAATTGTTTTTTAAAATAGCAAGTACTTTTGACTGTTTTTTTCCTTGAACCTTATCGATACTGAATCTCTAAAAGAGTAACTTGGAAGTGGTGTGCTGTTGAATTACAAGTAGATGAAGAAGCAAGTTGCATTCTTTTAAGTTTTTTTGTTCTTCTTTTAAGTAAAAGTGAAGATATTCCAGTTTATTTATCCCTTTAAGATAAATTACTAAACTAAAAGAGAATTTGGGAGAAAAAGATTTTTTCAGTAGTTCCAGCATAACTCATCCTTTCTTTGCTGCCACTGCCTGCCACTCCACCCTGTCAAATCATTTTTCTTTCCTTTCCAAATGTTGCACAATAAAAATATAATGATTAAAACTGAATTCCAGTATAACAATTAGGAGATTATTAGAACACAGTATAATGGACGTATACAATAGGAGTCACATTGCTACTAATTAGTAATCTTCTTTTGTACTATTTCTACATACTAAGCTTGTGGCTTAATTGTTTCAGTGTTTTCACTTTCCTTCATATTACTTTAATTTGTAAAACAATTGGTCATTCCCTAAATGGGGCACGTATATGTCAGCTTGAAGTTGAAAAATTATTTTAAATGATTTCTTAGAAATATACTTGTTATCCAAATGTAGCTGGGCATATGATAAAATATTTGTTATTTTTAAGAAATGTGGACTTACATGAACCTAAAATTGTTAGGAGATACATGTGGCATTTAAAATGTTGTTTACAGTTAAATTTTGCCTAAAGTCTAATTTCACTGCTAGGCTGTCACTCTCAGGCACAGTTCTTAATTTGTAGTCCCTGGACCAAAAGCATCAGCATCACTGAAACTTGTAGAGATGCAAATTTCCAGGCTCTACTCCAGTCTTGAATCAGAAACTGTGGGGTTGGTGCTCAGCAGTCTGTTTTAACAGTCACTCCAGGAGATTCTGATACAAAATCAAAATTTGAGAATCACTCCTGTGAGGCTTTGCGTTTGGTAACCTCACACCATCTTGACTAAATATGATCTACTTATACTCAGCTTTTATTTTAAAAGTTGTAAGTTAAAACATACCTTAATTTTATGCATATTCGTTATGATCTTTAATTTTGGGAAATGTTTCTATCTTGTTATAATTTGTTATTTTTGCAGTATTTTGCTTGGTGTAAATATTTTCTTTGTGATATTCCTGTTTTCAAGCCATTACGTGCTTAATTTTAGATTACATGATGTCACATATATAAAAATTAAAATATCACATATTTAAAAATTAAAATCAGTTATTTAATAAAATTATTAACTTGTTTTGATTACCTGTAGCACAAATACCGTTTTTAAAGTGGCTGACCACCAGTGTGTTTATGAAACAATGAATTCATTTTTAACAGATAGAAAGGAATGAAGAATTTGAAACTACTCTTGTCATTCTTCTTACTTCTGAGATGCCTAAATTGGGAATGTTCTTTGTTTATTAATATGCATTTCATCCCTTGCAAAAGTATGTCTTCATGTTATATTTTCTGGTACATTTTGAATAGTATGTCCTAAAAGTGTCTTTGAACTGAGTCATGTGAAATAATCAGGGCAGGCTTTTTATTGGCGGCTTTTTGCATCTCTTTCTCTCTTTTTTCGGCCATGCCTCATGGCTTGTGGAATCTTGGTTCCCAGACCAGAGATTGAACCCCAGCCTGGCAGGGAATTCCTAGCAACTTTTTGATAAGAGTAAGATTTGGGTAATTGAAACCAGTTTTGAGTAGGGAGATTAAATATTCCAGTTTATTGTTGATACAACCATTGATATATTTGCCTGTTTTCTTGTCTAAGTCATGTATACTAGACATATGCTACATGTTTCTCTGTGTTTTGGTTCTGATTGGAATATCTTGTGTATGTTAGTAATAGGTGTCTTTAATTAATACTACTCTACAATTTAACTTGGTATTGTACTATTACTGAAATCCAGTTTTAAATGAGTTCATTTTACATTTGATTATTCTTTGACTTTCAGGATGCTGAGGAAGAAGAAAATGAGAAAGGTATGTTTGATGCTAAGTAGAGTTTAAAAATTGGTGACATTTAGAAAAATAGTAAACTGTGAAAATAAAGCATTCCTTATTCAAAATCTTATTTTTGAAATGAGTTTATTTTCAAATTTATCAATTTAGTGAATTAAGTTAGCACCTTGATTTTATTTTTTAATTGGTTTAATTTTCTTTTTAACATTTTGAAGACATGTTCTAACTTAATGGTACATATCAGTTACTGTGGTGGACAATGCCATTTTTTGTTTAACCTAATTTAAATTTTATTTTTAAAACCAACTTCTAGCATACGGTAAGTTGATTATATCCTTAAGACTGGCACTGCAGTAACTCATACGTGCTTACCGGTAATCCTAGTATGGAATGGATAATTAATTTTACAACTAGTCCTAAAATTGTTGGGTGACCAGGAGACTGACTTTTTGTTTGCTGCTTGGAGAAATTTTGTACAGTCTTCTGACAGTTTCAGTAGTTCTGGAGACCTATCTTATCCAATACAATTACAGGGACATCAGTAGCAATATATGTGGTTGGTCTGAGGTTATAGAAGAGCTCTTGGAAGGACGTCCAGGGATCCTCCTACTTTGGACTAGAAAGGACATGGAACAGGCAGAATAAAAAACCTAGAAGCAATAAATGAAGTAAAGCTATCGACTGAAAATCTCAGATGCTCGAGGCCTTTCGCTTTTGGGTGAATGCAAGACATCTTTGAAAATGGTAATTGCAGGACTGACTGGACAGGATGAAGCCTGGAAATGACCACTTTCTTAAATATTATGGAGCAGGCCATCTTTGGAGCCTCTTGTAGCAGTTTTTGGACTACACAGGAATAAGAAGAGTGAAAAAGATGAGGCCCTGAATACTTTGAAGACTGATTGGTATCCTCAGACTGTGACCTTTCAAGACGTCACCATGGGAGTTCTGAAGGTCACAGGGTTAAATCCCAAGATAATTTGAACATTGAATAACAACTCTGCACATTTGTCACTCTCTCATGGAGGAAAAACACCTTCCATATGCCATTAACTTATACCCAGAAATGAAGAGCTGGTATCCTCAGGATGGAACTCTCTCCTCACTTTTGTTGTTTGGTATTTGTATTTAGAGATCATTTTTTCCATGAAGAATAAGTGATCCTGGGTAAAGGATTGTTTATGTTAGTTAATACCCTTGTGTTTTTCTTCCTAACCTTCCATCAGTGCTAATAACTGGGTTTATATTTTCTAGGTCCTATTCTAGCTTATGAATATGAAAATTGTTTAAACTTCTTGTTTTGCCATATTTATTCCTGTTAAATCCTCTTAGATATAGCAGGTTCTGGTGATGGTACACAAGAAGTATCTAAACCTCTTCCTTCAGAAGGGAACCTAGCTGAGGCTGATCACACAGCTCATGAAGAGATGGAAGCTAATGCGACTGTGAAAGAAGCTGAGGATGACAACATCTCGGTTACAATCCAGGCTGAAGATGCCATCACTCTGGATTTTGATGGTGATGACCTCCTAGAAACAGGTAAAAATGTGAAAATTACAGATTCTGAAGCAAGTAAGCCAAAAGATGGGCAGGACGTCATTGCACAGAGCCCGGAGAAGGAAAGCAAGGATTATGAGATGAATGCGAACCATAAAGATGGTAAGAAGGAAGACTGCGTGAAGGGTGATCCTGTCGAGAAGGAAGCCAGAGAAGGTTCTAAGAAAGCAGAATCTGGAGACAAAGAAAAGGATACTTTGAAGAAAGGGCCCTCGTCTACTGGGGCCTCTGGTCAAGCAAAGAGGTTTGTTTTTCTATGTCAGTTCTTTACGATACTGAATTCCAGCATTCAATAAGATCACTCTACATTAAGGGGGTGGCTTCAAGACCATGTACAGTAATTAGTACTTATGATCCTGCCTATAATATTTTTGACCGTCATAAGTTACTTTAAAAAAAATTTCAAGATCTTCGTAATATGCAGTGTGTCCTACTGATTGCATTGTCGAATTGTCAGCATATATTTGGTGTTTTTTTTTTTTGTTTTTTTTTTTTCAAATTGACAATTTTTTTGTGTTTCATTTTTAAAAATCCTTGTGATGATGGTTAATGAACAACTATCAGTCCTAAGAACACAAATGAAGTCAAGTCCCAGTCCTGAAATCTGGAGAAGATGGCCATATATCCACTGAATAGAATTGTCAGAAAATCTAGATCTTCAGGAATCTTGGGGAAAATCAGTGCAAGAATCCTAAGGGAATCATTTGTTCAAATAACCTAATCTAGGCTTTTGGAATTGTTAATTTGTATGGATAGCACTGGTTTGAAATATAGTCAATATCAAGCTGTTCGATTTTTGTTCTTTTTGTTCTTTTTGTTTTTGCTTTTTTGTTTTCAATTTTCTTCTGGTGATTTGCTTCTGTAGCTCTTCAAAGGAGTCTAAAGACAGCAAGACATCATCCAAAGATGACAAAGGTAATGTATTTTTTCCTACTTAAATCAGTGATAAATTGAATGTTTTCTTTAAAAAGTAATAATTGTCTAGGGTTTCTTTTTACATTTAGTCCTTAAAAATTGGCATAGTAAATTTTTTGGTGGCTTTTGTGTGAACAGTGGAGTTAGATTTCAGCAAATTCTCAAGTGTGATTGAAGCATTACTTTCTTAATTATTTCATTTATAAACTGGTATGAATTTGAGTCAAATATATTTGCTATGTATTTTTCCATTGTGTTCTAAGTATCTATTGAATATTCATAAAATAGACATTTCATTTCTTAAAGTTTCAGAAGTATTTCATCTTTGATTATCTCTTATAACCCCCACACACTACCACAATCTTTTTCTTTTTCTGTCTATTAGGAAATGCGATATAAATAGTATTTGTGGAGCTGAAAGCAAGTTAGCCTCAACATTTGGTTTTACTTTTTTGATTCTTTAAATCAGGGCACACAACTGTTAATATAGCCAGTTATATAGGATTTTAATTCTTCAGAATTTACTTCCTAATTGACTTATTTTGCATTGATGAGAGTTTTATGTAGAAAAGTAGTTTTATTTTAAAATTTTGTAAGTTTAAAGGTGCATTATTTGATTATTCTTTATTACTGGGAAGTCTTGGCTTATCTCCTGGTCATGTGCTTTAGTTTCATCTTATATATGCTGTAAATGTGAAAAATATTTCTTGTGTTTTAAAAAAGCATTTTAAGGAAAGAATAACACCATTTGGGTACTACAGCAAAAAATGCCTCTTGAGTGCCTAAAAAAAGGAATGTTATGTGTCCCTTATCTTTTTTTAGTATATTTTGTTGGCATATTTTTGTAATTAGAAATTTTACTGATTGACTTAGTAATTGACAATTAATTGCATTACCTACATCCCTTACAGTTTTGGTTAATGGATAAGATATAATAAATTTATTAAATATTATCCTTTAAATTTAGAAGCTTAGTGTAGTCTTAATTAAATGTTAACTTCCTATCATTAAGATTTTTTTTCTCTAGTTAAGAGGAGTATGTGGGCCCAGGTGTTACTGGTAAAATATAAAAGATACACGAACTTCTAGTTAATGTTTCATAAGATAAAACATTTCCTTTGATAAGTATGTTTCTTAACAGAAATGCAGGAATCATTAATATTTAAAATATTTGAGTCAGGCATATGTTGTCTTCTCATAAGTACACTGATAGCAGTTCTTTAAAACTTGTGGCTTGTAATTTTTAAAGCATTAAACATTTTACTCTTTCTATATTTGATACCATGAAGTTATAAAAATTGTTACTTTTATTGCTTAGATATTATTTCTCTTAAAGTGGGTAAGAATTGTTTTCTAAATGATGAAATGAAAATTCCTTTTTTATAATAGCACATTAGAAATAAAGTACTGAAGGGTAACTGACCAGGCCTGTATTTTAAGAAATGGCATTTATCTGTATGAAACAATAATTTGTGTATGGAAATAGTGTAGAAATAGTTCATATAACCATTTACCTATTCTAAAGAATTTTGGGGTCTCTGATCTTTGTAATTGATTTGTTTTAGAAGAATTTTTTTTTTAATCCAGAGTTTTCTAGTTGCATGTAATTTCCACTTTCTCTTACCCTTTCTCTAATAACAAAATGAAGATGAACTGTTGGCTAGTCTTTGTTACTAAACATTTAAATTTTTGAAAACAGTTTATCCCTTTGTTTGACTTTTCCCTTTGTGCTCTCAGTCTCTCAGGAGCCAAAGCCCAACAGGTGTAGGTAATTAAGCATTCTGTACATTCCCAGACCGCTGCTTCTTGGTTGCCTGAATTTAGTGCAGTGGTTGAATATAAATGAATGAATTTAAACGGCAAAAGTCCAAGACATATAATTGATTTTTTTACCCACTTTGTCTTAAAACTCATGCAGTAGAAAATGTACAATTCAGACATGTTTGTGTTACCTGTTATTGTGTTCAATTTTAGTTATAGGAGATGTGTAGGATTTTGATGTAGTGAAGTCATGCTGTCAAAATTAGAGGGTTTTATAATTTTGGAAGTTTATAGCACTATTAATTTTGTTTAAAAATTTTCCAATTGAGAAACTTAAACTTCTGATATTAAATCTATTCTAGGAAGTACAATTAGTGCTAGTGGTAGCAGTGGAAGCTCAACTAAAAATATCTGGGTTAGTGGACTTTCTTCTAATACCAAAGCTGCTGATTTGAAGAACCTCTTTGGCAAATATGGAAAGGTACATTGTTTTTATTTTTTTATCCATATTTCTATGTCCATTTTAAACAGAGGTTGTATTCAAAACAATACATATAAAATCTAATTTCTTGTCTCAGGACTGTTATAGGCATAACTATTTAGTTCTGTGGTAATCATGAGTTTTATTATATCATATAATCTCATTCTGAGCCCTGGGAATCTTTGTATTAAAAACTCATTTTTTGAGCCCATTTAAGTCAAGGAAGGACTGAGTTTGTTTCGTCACATTCATCATGATTTATCTTGGACCTAAAATTGCTGAAGCTGATCTGGTCATCTGGAAAATAGAAGCACTGGGATACAGAATATGGGGGGAACCCCAAAACTGATGTGGTCCCTTTTATTGTACAAATTCCAGTACAGTGGTGCAGAAGAATGTAAAACTGGTAAAATGGACTTGATCAGAAGTTTTGATATGTGCTATGAAGCAAGAGTGCAGGGTTTAGAGAGCAAAAAAGGAGGCTTTACTGTGGTTGGTTGATCAGAAGTTTTTCTGGCATATAAGGGGAGACCTAATAAAAAAGAAAACTAGTTGATATTTAAATGAATTGAATATTCAATTAATAGCTGTTGAATTAAATTGTAGTTGATATGCATTGATATGCAATGTAGTTGATAGGGCACTCACTATTTTCTCTTTATAGTTTTCAATATGCATCATATATGTAACCTACTCTGCTGTAAACTCTTTGATAGCAGGGGTCTTATCTACTATACTTTGCATGCATACGATAGGCTTTCAAATATTTATTAAATTTATGACCACCAATATCAGTAAATAGCCATTAATGAATGTTACAAAAATCTATCCTATTGATTTTAGAAATTGTTTTTTTTCCTTCTAATTAGAGAATTGCCTGCAGAGTAAGGAGGTTCTTGTAGATGTCAGATACAAAACACTGAGAATTGTAGTCCCATGATCAGTTTGTGGTATATTTTTGGTTCTGTTTCCAGCAATTTAATTAGGGCTAAAACTATATAAGGAAATATGTACTTATAACAAGGACCTTGGGTTTAAAAATGAAATTGCTGTTGGGGCAAGTCACTCTTTCCCAGAGTTGAGATAAAAGCTGATAGTTGCCAGCTACTCACACCAGATTCCCTCTGTCCCTCTTCCTGACATTGTGTCTGTGTTCCTATTTGTTCAGCACTAGATTGTTCTTTCCCACTTTTCTTCTCACTCAGCCATCCCTGTCTTATCTCTCTTAGCTATTCATTTTATAGAGCTGAATTATTTGTCACTTTTATATTGGTATACATTTTAAAAGTATATAAATGGAAAATATGTCTTTTTAGAGTGTGTTTTGTGGAGTATATTTTTAAGGCTGCTTTTTCATGTGTGGGAGACTATTTTTGAGAGACTCATTATAGAAAAGTGTTAATACTTATCTAGACACTCTCTAGGAACTTACCCTTTTTGTTTTAATATCTTTAAGAGATTAGGGGTGGGTCTTTGATAGGGAAATTTTGGTCCAAATCTAATTGAAAATATTGTTTCTTTGCTTTTGTTAATTGTGCCATTACTTCCTTGATGTGACTGACTGTGTTTTGGCAATGTATTTAAAAAAGAAGAAAAGTAAAAAAGTAGGTTAAATTGATTTTTAACATTTTAAATTGTTCCCCTGAATATTATAGGCAAGGTAGTTGATGAGTCCAAGAATATAAAACAATAATATATATTGTCCTGAATTTATACATCCTGAACATATCGTTTAATTTGAATAGTCTACATTCTGAAGTTTTATCTTAGAAGTGTACGTGAAACTGTAAAACTAAAGTATAATCTCATTTTTATAGGTTCTGAGTGCAAAAGTAGTTACAAATGCTCGAAGTCCTGGGGCCAAGTGCTATGGCATTGTAACTATGTCTTCAAGCACAGAGGTGTCCAGATGTATTGCACATCTTCATCGCACTGAGCTGCATGGACAGCTAATTTCTGTTGAAAAAGTAAGCTTGCTTAACTGTTTGAAGGATAGTAATTCTCAATTTAACAATATTATACTAGTAAGGAGTAAAATTGGGAATGATTTTTATTTTTATATATTCATTTTAATTATTTTACTTCTGTTTCCCCAATTTTTTTACCATCCACATACTTTTTACAATCATAAAAATGTAATTTAAAAAAAAACTTTAAACTTACATATTTGGGACTTCCCTGGTGGTCCTTTGGTTGAGAATCCACCTTCCAGTGCATTGGATGTGGGTTTGATCCCTGATTGGGAACTAGAATCCCACATGCCTCAGGGCAGATAAGCTGTAACTACTGAGCCTACGAATCTCAACTAGAGAGCCCATGCACTCAAGAAAAAAAAAATAAAATAAAATTTATATATTTTTTCTTCCTGTTTAAACTTTTCAGGTTAAAGGTGATCCTTCTAAGAAAGAATTAAAGAAAGAAATTGATGAAAAGAGTAGTTCAAGAAGTTCTGGAGACAAAAAAAATATGAGTGATAGAAGTAGCAAGTAAGGATTTATTTTGTCAATTAGCCTACAGACTTTTTTGGTACATTGATGAAGTAGTTCTCATTTTGTTGTTTTCTTATGTGGGGTGGTATGGTCAGGACACAAGCCTCGGTCAAAAAAGAAGAAAAAAGATTGTCTGAGAAAACTGAAAAAAAAGAAGGCAAGGATACTAAGAAAATAGAAGGTAAAGATGAGAAGAATGATAATGGATCAAGTGGCCAGACTTCCGAATCGATTAAAAAAAGTGAAGAAAAGAAACGAATAAGTATGCTATGTGTCTTTCTTCTCAGTCCCTTTTTAATGCATCCTACAGCTTAATTTTTACAGTGAGAGGGCAAACTTGAGAATACAATCTAGATAAATATGTAAACTTTGTTGTTAGATGTCACTGTGGTAGAAAATGAGATCTAATAGGACTGGGGAAACAGCTGTCTTCTTCCACCTAAGCCCATTTACTGTTAAATCTGGGCTGACTGAAAATGGTCATTGAATAATAGCTATATAATTGATCTTTTGGTATCTTTGAAAGTATTTACATTAGTGGATCAAGTTTTAGTAACTCTTTACATTTCTCATAGGATAAGTTTTTTATATCATGTATTGGTTTGTAAATATTTGGTTGTCTTAAGAATTCAGTATGCTTACATTATATTTTCTTTTTGATGGGAATATTTTTAGACATTGGCTTATCTAATTTTTTTCTTTTAGGTTCAAAGAGTCCAGGACATATGGTAATACTAGACCAAACTAAAGGCGATCATTGTAGGCCATCAAGAAGAGGAAGATATGAGAAAGTAAGTCCCTGAGAGGGATGTTGTATAGTATTTTGCCTGTTTCCAAAAGAAGATAATTCAGTTATCTCTAACCATTTTGCATGTGTCCATGATAGAAAACCTAAGAAAGGGGGAATGTCATTATTCATTTAAGCTTTTTAAATTACTAGCTCAACTTGAAAAAAAAAGAATTATTTTAACTTCTAGTCCTGTTAACAAATTTTTTTTTCCCTATAGATTCATGGAAGAAGCATGGAAAAGGAGAGGGCTAGCTTAGACAAAAAAAGGGACAAAGACTACAGGAGGAAAGACATCTTGCCTTTTGAAAAGATGAAGGAACAAAGGTTGAGAGAACATTTAGTTCGTTTTGAAAGATTGCGGCGAGCAATGGAACTTCGAAGGTAGGAAAAGAGTCTGTTTTATACCTGTTTTTAACTATAGGTATATCTTTAACATTAGTTATAAACCAGATTTCTGAAAATTGTATTTCTATAGAAAGATATTTGTCACTTTTAAGAAGTAAAACCTAATGATTTCTTTAGTTTGCATAGTATTTTACAATTTACAAAATACCTTTGCATCTATTATCTCTATCTCAATAGTTCTATAAGGTTAGTTATGTCCACTATATAAATGAAAAAAATGAAGGCCCAGAGAGGCTAAATGACTCTTCCAATGCCACATGGCTAATGAGTGGCAGAGTCGGGACTCAGACCCAAGTCTTCTGACTCCAAGTCCAATGCTCTTTCCTCTACTCCAAAGCTGCCGCTATAAAAAAACATGACTTTGAAGGCAAATTTTGATTTTGATATAAGATAGTCTTAGTGTAAGCTGTAGTGACCAAATAATACATTGACATTTTAGGAAAAATTTATTGTACTTTGAATTAGAGCCCAAGTAAAGGAAGATTTAACCTGTGAACCTTACTGTGTTCAAACTCTGTCCTAAAGTAGGCATCCTCTTTAAAACAAAATGAGAACACAACATTTCTACTTTTAGTGGCCATATCTCAATAGTTCATCATGAGTGCCAGTTTGCTGTCAATTTTTGGATGCCACTTAAAGTTTTCTTGTAAAAGTGTTTCATAATATAAATTTCCAAATATTCTGTATTGTTGAATGGTCACTTACAGAGTTTCATCTATTCATTCAGAAGGGTGCTAGGAACTACCAGAGATACTTTTAGCAACTTAAATAATACTGTGATTGCCGCACAGTTTACTAAAAGGAAATAATTCTTGCATGCTGCTGCTGCTGCTAAATCATGTCAGTTGTGTCCGACTCTGTGCGATCCCATAGACGGCAGCCCACCACGCTCCCATCCCTGGGATTCTCCAGGCAAGAATACTGGAGTGGGTTGCCATTTCATTCTCCAGTGCATGAAAGTGAAAAGTGAAAGTGAAGTCGCTCAGTCATGTCCGACTCTTCGTGACCCCATGGACTGTAGCCGTCCATGGGATTTCCTAGGCAAGAGTACTAGAGTGGGTTGCCATTGTCTTCTCCAGTTCTTGCATACTCAGAACCTTTTTTTTTTTTTTTTTTTTTGATGAAGTCTTGGTATGCTTGCCTTCCTGTTCAGATGACCACAGCTGAGAGAAGAGTGAAATTGGGAGCTATTAGGCAGCACTTCTCAAACCTATCAGACTAGCACTCATTTCATAGTAATAAAACAAAAAAAAAAATTGTAGCACCTTCTGTACTAATCTGAAATGAAATTGATATGTAACATACTTACTATAGAAATATACAAAAAAGAACAATATAAAGCTTTAACTCTAATATGAAGAAAACATAAAAGTAATTTATAATGAAGCATATATTCCAGATATGAATGTTTAGGCATGACGCTCTACAAGATCTAATGAAGTAGTCAGATGTTTGCACCTCTCTTAAGACTCAGTGAGAATGTGACAGCTACAAACACAGATTGATACCGGTTTGTCATATTGGTGAGTCAAATACCAGGAGTAGTGTTGATGTTATGAAATGACTTCTGAAATGGTGAACAACTCTTGGTGAAGTTCTCAAGAAGGTGTAATTTTTCGTCTTATTTATGTGGAGCTGCATTCCTGGAAACTTTAGTGTACATAAAAGGCCAAAGGAAATGAAACTAGCATTTATTAAAAATGAGTTAAATGCTAGGGCTAGATTTTTTTTTTCTAGAAGTGATTTTGTTTGGATGACATGAATTACATTATGGCATTTTGGAGTGTTGGATGGTTCTTTGTGCTGCAGGACTATCTTGACTATGCCATGCATCAAATGATATGTAGAATCCTTGGTCCCCTTAACTAATTGCTCATAACAGCCCCCTTGGTCATTGTCATAATTAGATATGCCCCTCCATGGGGGCAGTACTGAACCATTGAGAACCACTCGGATTACTAGGAGAAGACATGCTGACAGAATACACTGGATGCCTTAAAGTGAGGAAATGATTAAAAACAAACAGAAAAGTAACCCACTGTTAAAAGTCTTAATATAATAATTTAGTTGAGCACATATTTGACCTCAAAGAAATGTGTTATCTGGAGCCATCTATTATGGGTTGTGAACACTCCAAAAGAGGCCTTGAGGGCAGCCATTTAGTATAGCATTTGCTGTAATTCATGTTGGTGGCCATGATCCCAGTTCAACAAAACTAAGGCTTACTTCATTTAAGGAGATAGAATATATCCTAGATACTGGAAATTTTTCTATCAAAAACAGAAGTTTGTAGTTTAGTAAATTCATATATGTAGAATATCCTTTTAAAGATATTGACTAATTAATGGGCTATTATAGTGGGATTTTTATTTAAACAGGAATCATCTAAGAGGCAACTACTCTGTAAAATTGTTCAGGTGACAGTCTTAAATAAGTGACAGTATTGAAATCTGTTTAAAGTTTTATTTTGAGTTCTCTTTCCAATTACATTAAAACTATTTAGAATGAGTCGAAGTAAAAAATTGCCAACCTCAAGGAAAAATAAAATTCAAAAGCTATTCTCTTTCACACAGTGCTAGCATAATTTAAGTATTTCTAAATACTGATTTTTGTTAGACGAAGAGAGATTGCAGAAAGAGAGCGTCGAGAGCGAGAACGCATTAGAATAATTCGTGAACGGGAAGAACGGGAACGCTTACAGAGAGAGAGAGAGCGCCTAGAAATTGAAAGGCAAAAACTAGAGAGAGAGAGAATGGAACGCGAACGCTTGGAAAGGGAACGCATTCGTATTGAACAGGTGCAGTCAGAAAATCTTTTCATCTTAAATAACTGACCTTTTTCAAACCCTGTGATTTTTGCCCTAAAATTTGCTTTACATGCTGTAAAGCTTTTATAGAATAAGTTCAACTAATGAGCATTTATTAAGTGTCCCTGAGATAACAGTGAATTAGGTGCTAATTAAAACTACATTTAGTCATGACTTTGTTGTAGCCAATTGGTAATAACTTGAACTCTGCGATATCATGGCAGCCTAATAGTCTGAGCATAGGACTATGAGTCCAGAGTAGTTGTAATCCAGGCTCTGTCACTGTCCCATTCTTAGAAAATAATAACTATTTCCTTACTTATTATAGTGGGAATGATTCCCCAAGGCTGGAAGGAAATAATGCCTCTCTTTGCAGAATTGCATCCAGGGTTTTAGGGCACTTAGTCCTATTAATAACTTTATCTCTAATTACTTTTAGGTGCTTTTGTTTCAAATTATTAAACTAAATCTGACCTTCCAAATTACTTGCCAGCTTTCACCACCCAGTCTCTGTTATTTTTAATGTTACAGAACAGTAGTCATAGCTTAGATTGCAATTACTGAAGTCAGATTTTTTGTCCCAGGTTTGTCTTTTGCCTGGTGCTTGCTTATGATGTTTTCTTAATGATAGGATTAAAGCAAGGTTGCATATATACTTACCTTATGTTTTCATTTTGCATTGGTTGGTTCTTCCTTCTGTATTGTCTGAAGGAACGTCGTAAGGAAGCTGAACGTATTGCTCGAGAACGAGAGGAACTGAGAAGGCAACAGCAGCAGCTTCGTTATGAACAAGAAAAAAGGAATTCTTTGAAACGCCCACGTGATGTAGATCATAGGTAGTTGCTTGCTTTCTTTAACAGTTAAACTTGTTGTCTTATTCCTTTCATGCTAAGACTATAGAATTAGAAAGTACAGGCACCTGTTGCTGGACTAAAAGGTCATGATCAAGAGGGATGGGAATGACTGAGTAGTGAATTGAACATCAGTGGATTTTCAAGTAGAAGAAAAATCTCCCCATCCCCCCCACCCTCCATTTTCCTTCCTTTGCCAAATGTTTTCCACTGTGACTTGAAATATTGAATACATGGTAGGCTTTAACAATGGCTCTCAAACTCAGACCCATTTTGAAAATTCTTTGAAATCAAAGTCACAAACTTGGGAACACTAAAATATAGATTCTGTTATTTGTTTGCATTCATGGTTCTTAATAGCCCTCAAAATATAGTAATTTAATTTTCTTAATATAAATTCTGTGAGATTTAGTTCATTGTGTTGAGAAATAAGTAGAGCAGAGTGAATGAATTGTGCTTGGGACTAACCTCTCTATCCTTTCCAAAGTTAAGTATAACCAAAAGTGTTGTATGCTCCTTATTAGAATTTTATTTTAGAATGGTATGAAGTATTTGTCTTATCTGCCTTTTTCATTTAGTAATTTGAAAACAGTTTTTCAATTATTTTATTTTCTGTGAAATTCCTCTAACACTATATAACTTTCTGTAATTTGCTAATTTTTTGCTAGCTTGTTCTTACAAAAGAATGTTTGTCTTGAGTTTATTAGCCCTTTGTATCCACAGTTCCTAGCATGTGGTATGTATGACTCCAATAAGTGTTATTTTGTTGCTGTAAAACTAATTTATATAAACGAGCAAATATTTCTCTTCAAGGCGGGATGATCCTTACTGGAGCGAGAATAAAAAGTTGTCTCTAGATACAGATGCACGATTCAGCCATGGATCTGACTACTCTCGGCAACAGAATAGATTTAATGACTTTGACCACCGAGAGAGGGGCAGGTTTCCTGAGAGTTCATCAATTCAGTCTTCATCTTTTGATAGGTAAATGAATATGTTGAAATTTACTGTATTTGGTGTATGAGACTTGTTAGTGATAGTTTGGTTCTCTATTAAAATCTGAAGTACAGGTCATAAGTGAGTATTCAGAACAAATCATGTTTGGTTTTTCTATTTGTTAATGAGAATGTGATTCTGTATTAAAAATTAGTTTTATAGGCCACCATAACATGCTTAAGTAGGTAGGCTTTATCTTCTTAACCTTTAAAACTAAGTGAAAGTATTGTTACCTTTGGATTTGCCTCACTTGTGAAGAACAGTAAAATGTCCTTCGGTTGGTAGTGACTTGAGTGTTTGATGTAATTTCCCTTATATGCCAAAATACCACCCTTCCTGCCAGACATTTAGCTCAGTTTAAAAAAACATAGGTTATTATGCTCAGTCATCATCATGCTCAGGCATGTCTGACTCTGCAGCCCTGTGCACTGTAGCCTGCCAGGCTCCTCTGCCCATGGGGCTTTCCAGGCAAGAATAGCGGTGGGTTGCCCTTTTCTCCTCCAAGGGATCTTTCCAACCCAGGGATCCATCCCATTTCTCTTGCATTGACAGGGAGATTGTTTACCACCAAGCTACCTAGGAAACCCCATTATAATCAATAATTGTGGCTATTTTGTTCACTTTGCCTTAAGTTATTTTTTAAAGAAGGTTTAAAGGTTAGTTTTAAAGGTTAAGAAGATATTTTTTAGATTATGCAAATAAAGTTAAGAAGAATCAGACCAAGTACTTACTTCTCAAGACCTGTGTTCTTGGTTTTGGATAACAGGAGAGAACGTTTTGTTGGTCAAAGTGAAGGGAAAAAACCACGTCCTTCTGCACGAAGAGAAGATCTAGGTTTTGAAAGGTATCCCAAAAATTTCAGTGATTCCAGAAGAAATGAGCCTCCACCACCAAGAAACGAACTTCGAGAAACAGACAGGCGAGAAGTACGAGGAGAACGAGATGAGAGGAGAACAGTGATCATTCATGACAGACCTGATACCACCCACCCTAGACATCCTCGAGAAGGAGGGCCCAATCCATCTAGACCAGCCTCCTGGAAGGCTGAAGGAGGCATGTCCACCGACAAACGGGAAACAAGGTATTTGTGTAGTTTCTAATGCCCAGCTAATGTGATAATAAAGCACTTGGGTTTTTCAAAAAAGGTTGGAGTTTGATTGTATATGTTCTCGAATTTTGTCTAACAGAGTTGAAAGGCCAGAACGGTCTGGGAGAGAAGTGTCAGGGCACAGTGTAAGAGGGGCTCCTCCCGGCACTCGCAGTAATGCTTCCGGCTATGGAAACAGGGAGGGAGACAGAGGAGTGATCACTGACCGAGGAAGTGGAGCACAGGTAAGCGCTTAATTTCTTACTTGTTTCCCTGCATCAGGTCTTAGTTGTGGCCTGCAGCGTGTGGGCTTCTCTAGTTGTGTGCAGGCTCCAAAGTAGGCACGCTGAGAAGCTGCACTGCATGAGCTTAGTTTCCCTGTGGCATGTGGAATCTTAGTTCCCTCACCAGGGATAGAACTTAAGTACTCTGCATTGGATGGCGGATTCTCAATCACTGGACTACCAGGGAAGTCCCTTTTGTATTTTCAAGACAGTAGTTGAACATAGTAGTCCAGAGAAACAGGATACTAGCCCTGAATTTTTTTTTTATTCTAGTTTTGTTGAAATATAATTGACAAACAGAACTGTGTAAGTTTAAAAGTGTACAACATGATAATTTGACTTAATCCCTGAAATTTTTATTAAAATTGCTGCTGAAATTTGAGAATTGTTATATTTGGTAGATTAACCTTCTTAATGATGACTTTGGCTTTATTTCTTTTTTAAGAAATTGAGATTTTCAAACTGGATGGAAAATCTTTGACCTGTACTTGTGTTTCTGTCATCTTTTTCCTTTTTTTTTTCTTCTTTAAATAATACTCTTATCTTTCCTCCTACTTAATTAAATAAAGTGTAGAACTGAAATAAAACACTTGTTTCTTTTTTGTTCTTTTATTTTTAGAGGTGGGTAAGTGGAATATTTTGTGTTTTTTAATTGCTTTTTACTCTTGTGACACTTTATTGACTTGAATATTTTGTAAGTTAATGAACAGAGGACATCTGTTTGCAATTCAAATGAGCAAAAACCTTTTACTTGATTTGAAAGCATTCTGTTGATGAAAGAACTGGCATAATATAGGTTGACAGTAGTGAAGATAGAGTATTCTCAAATTACATACAGAAAAGAATTCTGAAGTGTATGTATATGTATGTATCCATCCTTCAACCTCTATTATCCTCTGGTACTCTGTGGTTTTGTAACAACTTTTTACCAGAAAACTTTTTAATCTCTAGGCATTCTAGTTAATACCCCTTTTTGTTTTTCATTTCATACAAAACACTTTTGAAACAGATTTGGGCCTGCTGGGATTTATAAGTTTCAGTGTTTCTAGTAAGTAGAAATAGTCAGTAGATCAATTCATTGAGCTATACCCTGAATAGAACTTTAAAAAATTCATTATATAATCCAGATATTCTGCCTTATTTAGAGTAAAGTTTAACGCAGTCTCATAGACTAGCCTCTCTGCATTCAGTTATCCTTTTTGCAGAAGGTATCTTTAAGGAAAAGATCTTATTCCTCCCTTGGAAATTTCGTTTTCATGGTGTTGGTCTGTTAGCTGTTCTGACAGCAGTATGTATGTGTAGAGCACCTTCAGATTTCTGTAGGCTTTCATAACTTTTGACTCTTTTTTTTTTTTCCCTCCCTCAGATCCTTAGTTCTCTGTTTTTGTTTCTTTATGTTCAGTATTCTTTTTTTAATAGTCATGGATGTACGGCCTTGTAAGAGCCATAACAGTAACTAGTACTGTGTAAAATAAGATGACAGCTCCTATTTCTATGTGGTATTTGCATGTGGATCATATACCCCAGCTTAATTGTCTTAAGGTTTTGATCTTTCAGTATGCCTTCTTAATACATACAGAGATCTAGGCATTATATATAGATCCAGAAATACTCAAGGGTCAAAAAGTACATGGGTGTTAGAAGGTATAGAAATAACAATGCTGAATCATTTTCTACTTTTCTACCTTTTCTACCCTTGTAGCCTGAGTAGCTTCCCAGTTCAAAGTAGATGGAAACCTTTTGTCATATTATTCGTCCTTTCATCTTCTCAGACATCTTAATTTCTTTCTGACATGAGGAGTATACCAGCATAAGTAAATTGGCCTGAGGCTGAGGTTGTCCTGACTTTTCTTTTAATATGTTATTCTTTAGCACTATCCTGAAGAACGACATGTAGTTGAACGCCATGGACGGGACACAAGTGGACCAAGGAAAGAATGGCATGGTCCACCTTCTCAAGGGCCTGGCTATCATGATACAAGGCGAATGGGTGATGGCCGGACAGGAGCAGGCATGATAACACAACATACGAGGTAAGTAGTTAATCAGTTCAAGTTTTTCTGCCAGCATACAACCAAACCTTTATCCTTTAAAAGTCATATGGTTTCTGAGAGATTGAATTACAATGAGTAACAACCCTAGGTCTGCCCAGATATTTCTTCATATTAACTCAAAGTCTCCAGGAGATTATATGCAGGGTTTGTGCTCATGCTCTGATGTTAATATTCCTCATTATAAGTTAATTAATTGGTATTTTGGCATAGATCTTGATACAGGTATGTATACATGTCAGAATCCAGTAGACAGGAATATTAATTTCATATTGGAACAATCTTCTTGTTCACTATCATTACAAAAATTTTTAGAAAGGAAGAAGAAACTGAAAGTATGTTCTGCTTCCTCCTTTCTCAAATAGCTCTATCAAAATTTTTGGACATTTATCCCAAAGCCTGTTCAGATGCTAAGAGATGAGCTTTATTTTCTCTTCACACCAATATCCATTGTGACCCTTCAGCTGGCAAGTATTTGGCCTCTCTCTTCTATACACTTCATTCTTTCCCATTCATCTGTCTTAGAAGAGACATTGGCTTAGCTCACTGACCCAGGTTACTACTATTCTATTGGTTGCTTCCACCATCAAATTTAAGTGAGTGTTATACTTGTGCCTGCCCAGCCTCATCACTCATTCTTTTTTTTTTTTAAGTGGAGGATAATTGCTTTACAATATTGTATTAGTTTCTGCTGTACAAGGAAGTGAATCAGGTATATGTATCCATATATCCTCTCCCTCTTGAACTTCCCTCCCACCCCCTACCACTATCCCATCCATCTAGGTCTTCACAGAGCACCTAGCTGAGCTCCCTGTGCTGTGGAGCAGGTTCCCACTAACTGTCTCTTTTACACATGGTAGTGTATATATGTCAGATTTGTCCTGCCCTCTCCTTCCCCTCTCCTTGGTTTTTAAAGGTCACCCATACAATTTTTCTTGATAAATACAGATTCCTTTATTTTTTTTTAGTTCTTGGGCTCTTTGGTGATTAAACCCTTTTGATTTTCCTTTTTTGAAACATTCCTCTGTTTTCTAATGTACCATAATTTTCTTTTTTATTTATTTTATTGGCTCCTTCACATGGTTGGATTTTAGACACTATTCTTTATTGTTTTATACTGTGATCACCATGTAGATGCTTGGATGAATAAAATTCAAGGTCACAAGCAAACTCATTCCCCTCCTGTTTCAGATCTTTATGTTTCTGTTGTTTCCAACTTCTTTTAATTTGCCAGTGCCAGACTGGAAAAAATATGGGCCTCATCTTTATTTTTCTCCTTGCCTAGCATAAATTTCTAAGTATGGTTCAGTTAAAAAAAATATTTGTGGTAGCTTTGTCTTCTTTTTCATTTTAGCTCCTGTCAATCTTCCCAATATTTTTCTCTCCTCCATTTTTTCACATTATTTCTAAATTTAACTGTTGAGACTATTTTCTTACACCATTTACTTGCTCCAGAACTACAAACAGCTTCTTTAGATCACTTAGCCTGGCATCCAAGCCTTTCTTTAATCAGGTTTTATCCTTAAACCATTTCACCATGGATTTTTATCTTCCAAATTTGTTATAGGGTTTTGGGGGGGTGGGTTTTTATTCCTATATTATTTATTCATACCTACTCTGTTGCATTATTCATATAAAAGAAATTCCAAAAGTATTTCTTAAATGATGCCTTGTAGTTCAGAGGTTCAAGTTTCTAGTTGATGCTGATGCAGATCTGGGGACCACACTTTGAGAAGTCCATTCATATGCAGACCATTACATGGCTTACTAAGAGGCAGGGGTTTAACACAAGACTGCCAGAGTTGAAATCTTTACACCACTGTATATTATCAGATAATCATTGTGACCTTAGGCAGGTAACTTAAATGCTGTATCACTCTTCATCAGGAAAGCGGGGTTAGTAATGGTACATACCTCACAGAACTGTTGAAAAAAGTAAATTATTTAATATGGGTAAAGTACAAAGAACAGTGTCTGTTAAATGATAATCACTTTTTAGGTATTAGCTATAGTTATTTTCTCTTTTGTTCTCTGACATTTTTTTCTTTTAAACATTTTTTCAGTAATGCATCCCCAATTAATAGAATTGTACAAATCAGTGGCAATTCCATGCCAAGAGGAAGTGGCTCCGGATTTAAGCCATTTAAGGGTGGACCTCCACGACGATTCTGAAAATTACTTGCTGCCATGGTTTCAAGATAATTTATTGAAATCTCCTGTAAACTTTACTTGACTACTTATGAAGAGGACCTCTGACTTGCTTGAGAGTTGTCAGACTTTTCCTTTTTCTCTTTTTTTAAAATTTAACATGATTGCTTTTCTCAATTTTGGAGAAGATGTTTAAATAGTTCCGTTGTAACTTTTAATAGTTTTGTGTATCATTCAACTTTTTTTCTTGCAGCACCAAGACACATTGGAAAGGATAGGAATCAAAACCATTTTGTTTAACGCTGTGTGAATATAAAGAGTAGTTTGCAGGTGTGTGGTAGTGGTTTAATTTGCAGCATTAGCTCTGTGGTGTCAGGCTCTAGAGTTACTTCTTATCACCAAGAATTTTCAGCCTCCATTTTGAAGGCTGTTTAAGCTTAAGAAGTCTGCTGTTTAATTTTTAGAAAATAAGATTGTTCCTTGCATTTCTGAGTATTATGTAACCTATTTTTGCAGAAGGTACTGTTACATTAAGTGCATCTGTGTATCCTGGTTTTAAGAAATGTACTCTTTTTTGAAATAAACCTTCATATTCTGTATAGTTGCTAAAGCGTTGAGAACCTTTTTAATTGTAAAATGAAAACCGATTTTCAGTTTAGTGTTAGCAGCACACTTGTTCAGGTTTGCATGGTATGAAACCAAATAGATTAATGAAACCTTGGCCATGAGGTTTGTATCACTGAGGTTCTTAGACTGAGTTGTGCAGGTAAGTGCACTTTTAGGTAATCTGCACTGTTTGATGGATAAATTCCATCTCTGGGAATTGTGTTGGTATTAATGTTTCCATATTCCCAACTATGTTGAGAAGTGGAAAAACAAAAAACAAAAACCCAGGTTCTAGATTGGTGAATCAGTTGGGTTTTGTAAATACTTGTATGTGGGAAGGCATTGTTGTCTCTTTGTGAAAATAAAAATCCACACCTGGAAGTGTATGTGTCTTTGTTTCCAGCGTTTTAGGTGTTGGTCCTCCAGCCCCTTTCCTTACTCCAAATAATTGACCAAGTTTAGAGCTTTAACGACAAGTGTTTTGGTCTTCTTCCTAGGATATAAATTTGACTTTTCACTTCTGCTGAAGTGTTGGAAACTTAAGCACTGACCTTATAACTTTTTTTTTTAAAGCATCTTTTCCAGGGAAGTCCTTCAAGGAAAATTTTGAATACCACCTCTTAAAGCCTCCCATATTCCTTCATGTGAATCAGTAGTTCAGATGGTCTGTATTCTTGCAAAACTCAGCAGCGTGTACGCATATGCAGAGTAAAAGATGGGTGCCAGGTGCTTGCCCTGAGGCCGCCTTTTGATCTGAGGAGTCTCTATAGACGTTCTTTACTGAAGGCAGCCAGGGCGCCTTTGTCTTTGACTCTCTGGGGAACTGGCACTTTTTCTATTGTTCTGGATTTCATACCCTTTTCTTCCCTGTCTGTGTGTAGAGGTCTACTTCTTCATTTCCTGATTCCCTGTGCACGTTGTAGAATGGTACAATAGAAGCCTCAGTTATGTATTGCAGTGAACTAACTTACTTTTCTGCTTTGCCTCTTTGTAAATTTTGGGTCTTTAGGTCACTTTTGATCTTTTTCCCCATTGCTAGAGTGGAGCTATGCTTACCACAATGGATTACCCATTTGCTAACATTGCTAAGCACTTTATGTGCTGGGCAATGTACTAAGCATTTTAAATGCATTGCTTGCCTAATACTCAAAAAGAATCCTACTAGCTATAAGGAACAATTATTGTCCTATCCATTTTCAGATGGGGATCTGAGAAGTAATCTCTTAAAATATTAGATCTTTGATTTGTTATAATCTTTTCTACACCTAACACTGAATGGCACAGCTGTCCACAAGCTGGTAGGTAGTTATTTTTCCCTCAGAGTTGCCATAGTATAGCATTTTTAAGTTCAAAAAACCTAACAGAACTGCCTTCTGAAGTTTTGGCATTGGGTTTGGAAGTAACCATCAGGGTTCAGGGGCATCAGTTACTAGAGATCTGGCTGGCTAAGGATCAGTAGTGAAATCCAATTTTAAAAGAGTTTATAAAGGAAGATGAGTTCCTCAAAACCAAGAGAAAAGAAAAAATTTTATTACTCTCCATATACTTATCAAACAATCCAAAACTGTTTCAGCATAAGTTAGAAGGTTTCAGTGATTGAAGAGTAACAGACAGCTTACAGTGGTTCAGGAAAGAGATGGTTTTTAAAAAAGAAGAAAGAGCCAGTCTTAATAAGCTTGGACAAGACACTGCAGTCAGAAACTTCAAATAATTATAGTTTCAAATAATTGTCCAAAATAATTCTAAAAGAAATGTAAAAACTTCAGAGTTGCATAGAAAAATTTAGAAACCCTTCTGCCTGTATTGAATCCCTTGTCAGTTAACCCAGTTCCTCCATATTTAAGCCGGTTCCAACAATTAAACACTTACTAAATCCTTACTATAAAAATGTCAAATTACTGTTGCATTCTTTCAGACTTCATCTAATCCAGCTTGTTACCTAAAGATGAATCTTTTCCAACACCTCTAACAGTGCTTAATTAGCTTTCCTCTCAGCGTCTCTAATTTAACATTTCAGTCACCGCTCCCACCCACAAACTATCTAATCCTCACAAATGTTTAGCCACTATCTTCAAAGTCAATAAGGCTGCCATACATAAAATTCTCTTTTCTACATCATGTAAACTGCATCAGTCAAACTGCATCATGTAAACAGATCAGTCATACTGCATCAGCTTATTTTTTACCTGAAAAAAACTGTTTTCTGAAATCCTTAAGTGCTTCCTGCAAAATAAGGTTCTATCTTTCCTTTTTCTCTCTTTGTTATACTTGGTGCTTCTAACCAGGCTTAAGTGTAAGCTTCCAAACAGTTAATTTTCACCTATGTATTCTATATCAATTACTTTTATGTCTACACCACCAAATGGCAATGTTTTTCTTTTTTCTGTTCTAAACCTTCAAATATTGCCTTGTCTCCCTTGGAATAAATCCAGTCTTTGGAATTGCGCTACTTCTGATCGCCTTGTTTCCTGCTTTTCTCCTTGCTAACTTTGTTTCCGTCACTTCAGCCTCTTCCTGTTGCTTGAATACAGTCTTCCCATCTCTGGCCTTTTGCCTTGATCTGGAATACACTCCCCTGCCACATCCACTTTGTGAAAATGTCACTTTCTCAGTGCCTTCCCTAGTATTTATAACTTTTAAAACACTTTTGCCCACTCTCAATATTCTCCCTTCCCCTTTCCGTCTGACATTTATCATATATTTCTTCTAACTTGGATGTAAGCTCCAGGAGGGCAGCAGTTTTGTCTGCAGCTTTTTTTGTTTAGTTTTCCCTGCCATATCCTGAGCACCTCACACTTAGTAGCTACTCAATAAATAACTGTCAAGTAAATACGTATTTGAAGAATTCAGAATTTTTCTAGAAGGTACTTAGGGGCTGCAGTTTGGTAGGAATAGGGGTTGGGGTTGGGGTCTGGGCTTTGTACAATTGAATTGGTGTAACCAACATGGTTTTCTAATTAGAAGAAATTAAAAGACACTTGCTTCTTGGAAGAAAAGCTATGACCAACCTAGATAGCATATTAAAAAGCAGAGACATTACTTTGCCAACAAAGGTCCATCTAGTCAAAGCTATGGTTTTTCCAGTGTATGGATGTGAGAGTTGGACCATAAAGAAAGCTGAGTGCGCAGAATTGATGCTTTTGAACTGTGGTGTTAGAGAAGACTCTTGAGAGTCCCTTGGACTGCAAGGAGATCCAACCAGTCCATCCTAAAGGAGATCAGTCCTGAATATTCATCAGAAGGACTGATGCTGAAGCTGAAACTCCAATACTTTGGCCACCTGATGCGAAGAACTGACTCATTTGAAAAGACCCTGATGCTGGGAAAGATTCAAGGCAGGAGAAGGGGATGACACAGTATGAGATGGATGGCATCATCGACTCGATAGACATGAGTTTGAGCAAGCTTTGGGAGTTGGTGATCGACAGGGAAGCCTGGCTTGCTTCAGTCCATGTGGTCGCAGAGTCAGACATGACTGAGCGACTGAACTGACCGAACACATTTTCTAAGATTGAATACTTGTAACTTTGAGAGTATTTGGTGAAAATTGAGGTAAGCATTTGAGGAGGGCCCAAAACTCTCCAAGCCTCTGCTCCCTTTGTGGCAGCAAGAAATGGGACTGTTTAGGGACAGGTTGCCCAGACCATCAGAGTTAAGCCAAAAAGGCGATGCCTGCCTTAGACAGGATGTGTGTGTGCTCAGTTGCTTCAGTTGTGCCTGATTCTGTGTGACCCTGTAAACTGCCCGGCCAGGCTCTTCTGTCCATGGGATTCTTTGAGGCAAGAATATTGGAGTGGGTTGCCATGCCCTCCTCCAGGCAACCTTCCCGACCCAGCAGCCCGTGGCGGCATCTGCACCTGCATTGCAGGCAGATTCTTTACCACTGAGCCACCTGGGAAGCCTCTTAGGCAGAAATATTAACCATCAAATCTGGTAACGATAACCCTATGTGCAAAACAGAAAAAGAGACTCCGATGTATAGAACAGACTTGTGGACTCTGGGAGAAGGCGAGGGTGGGATGTTTCAAGAGAACAGCATTGAAACACGTATATTATCTAGGGTGAAACAGTTCACCAGCCCAGGTTGGGTGCACGAGACAAGTGCTCGGGCCTGGTGCACTGGGAAGACCCAGAGGGATTGGGTGGAGAGGGAGGTGGGAGGGGGGACCGGGATGGGGAATACATGTAAAAAAAAAAAAAAAAAAAAGATACACTATGGTTGTGATAAAAAATAAATAAATAAATAAAATTAAAAAAAAAAAAAGAAATATTAACCATCAAATCATCTTTGCTCCAGTTCCAAGCTCACCAAAGCTTCCCACTTGGATTTGCCATCTGGGTTAGGAAGCAAGAATATGAAATCTGCTCAATGGTTAAATTTTTATTGATTTATTAAGAGACTGCTTACATCAAAAGCT